AAAGTCAGTTACAGTTTGGGTCATTAAAACACCTATTAATTGGGTTCCTACAAGCTGTCCTATTGGAAAGTCAGTTACAGTTTGGGTCACTAAAACACTTGTTAATTGGGTTCCTACAAGCTGTCCTATTGGAAAGTCAGTTACAGTTTGTGTCATTAAAACACCTGTTAATTGGACTCCTAAAAGCTGTCCTATTGGAAAGTCAGTTACAGTTTGGGTCATTAAAACACCTGTTAATTGGACTCCTACAAGCTGTCCTATTGGAAAGTCAGTTACAGTTTGGGTCACTAAGACACCTATTAATTGGACTCCTACAAGCTGTCCTATTGGAAAGTCAGTTACAGTTTGGGTCATTAAAACACCTATTAAATGGGCTCTTATCCTCTTTCAAAGTTAGTTCCAGTTTACATCAGCAAAGCACCTACTAATCAAGCTCCTACAATCTATCCTCTCTGGAAGTCAACTTCTTACCCATGCTTCTTGAAACTAAGGTGAGAAGAAGCTTATATGTGTTAAATAAGACAGATCACCAGTCTAACAGGTCATTGGAATAAGAAATTAATCAGCCAGCTGGGGATCTAGTTCATGTAACATCAAGGATAAAATGGACATATATTTAAGTAGGTTTGTTTCATTTGTTTTGGTAACCGAGGTAATGCATCTAGATCCACGCCGTACATATAATATATATACATATATAAATGTTGACTGTATGTTCACAATGTTGACTATATGTACTGTATGTTCACAATGTTGACTGTATGTATTGTATGTTCACAATGTTGTCTGTATGTATTGTATGTTCACTATGTTGACTGTATGTACTGTATGTTCACAATGTTGACTGTATGTACTGTATGTTCATAATGTTGACTGTATGTTTACAATGTTGACTGTATGTTCACAATGTTGACTGTATGTTTACATTGTTGACTGCATGTTCACAATGTTGACTGCATGTTCACAATGTTGACTGTATGTACTATATGTTCACGATGCACAATCCGAATAAAATGAATGAAAGAACAGTTTGAAGTCTGACGTGCTATTAAAATCCTTAATGTCTTTGAAATGAAGTCAAACAGTTTGAAGTCTGACGTTCTATTAAAATCCTTAATGTCTTTGAAATGAAGACAAACATTTTTTCATATTAGTCCCTTACACACCTAGGTTCGCTCTCAAATGTGATCACTTGTTTATCACGTGACCACTTCATTTTTATTGGTTGGTCTCCCGACACACTACATTCCAGGGAAACGGATTCACCAATCTGGACCATATGAGTCCGGAATCTGGTGTGAAACTGGGGAGCAACTAAAGAAAAAGTACAATAAAAAACGAATGATATAAAATCATTACATATACAAATACACTTTAAAATGAACACTGATCCCATTAAACATTATTCGTTAGGCCTTTTAATTGAATAAACTCAAGACTTAAATTTGTAATTCAGTTACTTTTTTTTCTTTAGATAGATGGCGTTAAAGAAGGTGGCAGCTCTCACAGAAAATGACTGCTAGCCGTCCATAATTATGAATTGACAGACTATAGGGAAGGCCAGATAGGCAATATACATGAGCTAGCCGTCCATAATTATGAATTGATAAACTATAGGGAAGGCCAGATAGTCAATATACTTGGGCTAGCCGTCCATAATTACGAATTGACAGATAATAGGGAAGGCCAGATAGTCAATATGCATGGGCTAGCCGTCCATAATTATGAACTGACAGACTATAGGGAAGGCCAGATAGTCAATATACATGGGATAGCCGTCCATAATTATGAATTGATAGACTATAGGAAAGGCCAATTAGTCAATATCACCCATCGCCAACTATGGACTACTCAAATCGAACTGTGGGATTTGACAGTCACAATTATAACACACTCACAGCCCTAAAGAACGGGGCATAATATCTTTTTTTTTGGCAACGGGACGTGAACCCCGAATCATCATATCCACAGACTAGCACACTTAACCATTAAACCAAGCTCGACGCTCTAGACAGAATTTCTAATAAATGTCTCCGAAGAGTTCACACAACAAAAGTAGGATCCACCATTAATTTAAGAGATCAAAAAAAGCTTGTCAGTCAATAAAAAAGAGAGCTAAAATTAAACCCACCTTTATTAATAGTCTCGTCCCAGGAGAAATCGGTATTAACCACGACAGAGGAAGGACAGATGTACAGATACACTTACCGTGCACTTGTAGCGTGATTACTCCACTAATTTCTGATCCGATTCCGTTGGTTGCTTGACACAGATAATATCCACCATCTTGTTCTGTTACATCTTGAATTGTTAACGATCCATTTTCGAATATTTGTTGATGGTAACTTGTGCTAATGGGATGGTAATTGCTAGGGGTCGCTCCTGTAAACAAATCAACTAATAGAATAGAATAGAAAATTTCTCTGGGATAAAAGTTTAACTAAATGATTTAATTTTGTTAAAACCACTGCTGTTTTAATAAAGAAGTCAATTAATTAAACCCTTTTTTTAAATTCCATAGAAAGTTGTGTGTTTAGAAAAGTATTACGAAGTATTAGATATAACATGTTTGGCTGGTTGTTTGTTGTTAAGTACAAAGTTACACAATGGGCTATCTGTGCGTCGTAAGCCTGCAGACTTACCGCTAAGCCACTGGGGGTGGGGGCAGTTCCTATATTAAACTGATGTGCTAAGTTATTATAGATTGTAATTTATAATACGAAAATAACGATCTCCTAACTATAAAATGTTTCTTGATAATCCTAGTTATCAAGTGTAAATTATCAATTTAAAACACGATGTATACAAATCAATGAAAATGAGACACCGGGATATAAACTACGACAACAGAAAGCATGTAAAAAGTTAGACTGTTT